TAGTTGTTGCTATTCTCCTCTATTCAAATTTCCCATTTCATTAACAATTGACAACGAAGAAGCTTCAGATACCATTAAAACACCTTTGCTTTCTTCAGCTCCAACCTGAACGCATTGAAGTCTCCATCCACGTCACCAACACCATCATCGTAGGTGTGTAATAGACCATCAAAGGTTAAGCCTTTTTCACCATCAATGAATTCGCCATAAGTATGGAACACTTCGTCTAGGATGGTGTTGATTTGTTTGTCGCTGAATTTAACTATAGGGTTTATGGCCACCATTAAAGCAATGATAATCCTAGGATTATACTATTTTTCTATACGATTTTTGTAGGATTTTTTAATACTTCTTTCGAGCTTTGTGCCTGAATTGTTATTTAATTCTGCATATTTTATGTTTCTGGACCCAGAATTGAGCAAAATTCAAAAGATCGAGAAATTCAGATGCTAATTGGAAGCACCCTTGAAGTTTGTTCCTATTGGAGATAAAAAGGATTAAAGATTCAAGTGAAGAAGCAAGCAGAGGGCAATTCCATAAATTCAGCAAAGAAGATCAGAAGTTCATCGTGGCAAGGTTTTCTCTTCGCCACGACAAGCTAGCCTCTGGAATCCTAGGTCAGCAAAACTCAAGTTGATGCCGCAGTGAGATTTTTTCTTCGTTGCGACGAAAACTGCAATTTTAAGTTTTTGTTAAAACGTTGCGTTTTTCTTATATATTATTAGGTCCTAGGGTTTTAGGTGACTATTTAAGAAAAAGTTAGCTCATTTTGAGAGAGAGGTCGACATTTTGGGAAATGGGGGAGAGGAGAAGAAGATTGGAAGAATTTGGGTCTCCAAATTAGAGAAGCTTCTTTTCCCTTTCTTGTTTTATGATGTTGAACTCTGATTTTGTTATGTATTTAATGTTTATTTCCATTTTGAACATGAACTAACTTGTTTTTGGGTTAGGGTCGGTTTTGATGGATCTTTGTTTATAATGATTTAATCTATAATATCTTGTTGTTTTTGGGTTCTATTGCATGGATTAAGTGTTTATCTTTGTTCTTAATGCATTTGATTGTTGGGTTTTTGAATCAAATGAATGTTGAGCATGATGAGACTAATAAGTGATTCATGTATTAGCTTTTTAAGGTAAACACCATAGATTGAGCGAAAACTAGAGATAGACAAACGCAATCTATGAAATCTTTATAGGATTCCACAAGCTTAAGGGACTTTGAACTATTAAATTTCAATTTGTTGGGTGCGGAAGTTTGATAGGGATAAGTAGTAAATTATAGCCTGAAAAAGGTATATTTTACAACCTAGGGAGTCCGATTTGTTATTCATGCATGTGAACTTGAAGATAATAGGATTATTAGGTTGAATAGGAGTAACTTAGTGAAATCGAAACCCTAACCTCTCTTCCTGTATTGAATTTCGTTGTTGAGTTGATTTTATGGTGTTAAATTTAGTTGTCTCTTTTGTTTTGTTCTAATTTAGTTTTTAGTAGCTCTCGCAAATCCAATTTTTTGTGTTCTTCAATTAGTTATAAAATTAGGAAAATTGGTACTTAGCACTCAATCCTCGTGGGAACGATACTCTATTCATCACTTTATTACTTTTTGCGACTAGTGCAATTGCTAAATATGCATGTTTGTGAATCACGCATCAAGTTTTTGGCGCCGTTGCTGAGGATTGATTTTGTGTTAATATTGAAGTTTTCTAGTTTTTGCTAAATTGGAGTTTAATTTTCAGTTTTAATTGTTTTAGTTTAATTTTTGTTTGCTTGTGATTTTACGCTCTTTTTCTTAGTAGTTTATGCTAAAAGCAAGAAATCATCCAGTGGTTCCTATTAATCCAGAAATTGAAAGAACTGCGAGAAGACTCATTAGAGAGAAAAGAGAAAGAGAGGCGAGAATGATGATGGTTGAAAATAGAACTTTGAGGGAGTTTTCACTTCCACAAGTTGATGGGTGTAGTCTGAGCATAACAAGACCGCCTATTGAGGCGAATAACTTTGAGATAAAGCCAGCTATAATTCAAATGATTCAACAATCAATACAATTTGGGGGTGATCTAAAGGAAGATCCGAATATGCACATAGCCATCTTCTTGGAAATCTATGACACATTCAAGCACAACAGGGTGACAAATGATGCTATTAGATTGCAACTGTTTCCATTCTTATTGAGAGATAAGGCAAAAGGATGGCTAATGTCGTTACCCGTTGGAACCATCACGACGTGAAATGATCTAGCATATAAGTTCCTGTACAAGTATTATCCATTAGCGTTGTCGACAAAGATGAGAAATGACATTACTTCATTTGTACAAGGTGATCATGAATCATTGTATGAAGCATGGAAGAGATACAAGGAAATGTTGAGGAAGTGTCCACACTATTGTTTGTCTGTTTGGATGCAAGTCCAAACGTTCTATTTGGGTTAGCTACCAAATGTTTGAACAATAGTAGATGCAACAATTGGAAGAGCTTTACAGAACAAGACACTGGTGGAAGCTCAAGAGTTACTTGAAGTTTTAGCAAGTAACAACTACCAAGGATTGGATGATAGAATAGTGCCGAAGAGGTCTATGGGTATTCATGAAGTTGATACTTACACAGCCATTTCAACCCAACTTGCCACGCTTCAGAAACAAATAGGAGGTATGCATGTTAATTACATTCAAACACCTCAAGTAACATGTAACTTTTGTGCAGGTAACCATGCGAGCATTGATTGCCAAGTTGGGAACACATTTGCTTCATCCTCCCCATCATCAGAGCAAGTCAACTATTTGGCTCGGAATCAAAGACAACAGAACAATCCATTCTCCAACCAACTCCAACCAACACCTATAATCCTGGTTGGAGAAATCACTCAAACTTGTCGTAGGACAATCAATTAAATCAAAGGACAATGCCAAGCCATCAATCAGGGGTGAACCATCAACCAGTTGAGCAGAGAGCGTCAAAATTGGAGGATATGTTTGGGAAATTCATGCAAGAAACCACAGGTTTTATGAATGAGACGCGGTCAAATTTTAGAAATCAATGAGCGCCTATTTGAATCTTAGAGGTGCAAATGGGTCAAATTGCTAAAAAATTGAATTAGAGAGCTGAAGATTCCTTACCAAGTAATACGGTGACAAATCCATGTGAACAAGCAAATGTTATAACTTTAAGAAGTAGAACAATCTTAGAGGAAGTTGAACCAAAAAGGAAGGATAAGGACCCACTAAAGAAGAAGGAAGAATCTGAGCAAGAAGTCAATGAAGAGATCATTGTTGAAGAGAAGCCAACAAGTCCCAAAAAAGAAGAACCAAAGAAGGACAAGGTGTAGAAGTCAAGGAAGGAAAAATTGCCATTTCCTGAAATACCGCTAGAGTTGGCACACCACACTCCTCCAATTCCTTTCCCTTAGAGATTAAGGAAGCAAAATCAAGATAAGCAGTTTATTAAATTTCTTGATGTTTTCAAAAAAACTGCATATTAACATTTCTTTTGCAGATGCATTGCAGCAAATGTCGAGTTATGCTAAGTTCTTGAAGGAAATTTTTTCAAACAAGAGGAAGCTGGAAAAGGAAGAAACAATGATGCTTACAGAGGAATGTAGCGTCATTTTGCAGAAGAAGTTACCACCAAAGCTCAAAGATCCAAAGAGTTTCATTATCTCTTGTGTTATAGGAGATGTTACATTTGATAGAGTTTTCTATGACTTAGATGCTAACATAAATCTATTGCCTTTTTCTGTTTTCGAGAAATTGGGGATCGGTGAAGTAAACCCTACAATGGTTTCTTTGCAGCTTGCCGACCGATCGATCAAGCATCCACAGGGTATTATTGAAGATGTGTTAGTCAAGGTTAATAAATTTATATTTCTTGCATATTTTATTGTATTGGATATAAAGGAAGACAAAGAGATACTGCTCATTTTGGGAAGACCATTCCTTGATACTGGAAGAACTTTAATTAATGTATAGGAAGGAAAATTGATTTTGAGGGTCCGAGATGAAATGGTAACTTTTAATGTGTTTGAGGCCATGAAATTTCCATTGGAAATAGAGTCATGTTTTGGGGTTGATGTGGTTGATATAGTAAAAGACACATTTGAAGAGATCCATCCTCAACTACTTCTTGAAGCATGCATTTCCCAATCCAAAACTACCGAGGAAGACGAGCCAAGGAAGAATGAGTGTGCTAAGTATTTGGAAGCACTTCAACCAATGAACACCATCTAGGATTCAAAATTTGAAGACTTGGACATAAGTAAGGAGAAGGATAAGGCAAAGTTGGAAGAACCTCCCAAGCTTGGATTGAAGCCTTTACCATCTCATCTTAAGTATGTGTATCTTGGTGAATCTAATTCTTTTCTAGTGATTATCAATGCAAACTTGAGTAAATTGGAGGAAGAGAAATTGATTCTGGTATTGAGAGAGCACAAGTTTGCAATTGGATGGAGCATTTCAGAGTAAAGGGCATTTCTCCATCTTTTTGCGTGCACAAGATCCTTATGGAAGATGATATCAAGCCAAGAGTGCAACCACAACGACGATTGAACCCTTCTATGAAGGAAGTGGTAAGGAAAAAGGTGGTAAAACTCTTAGATGCAAGAATCATCTATCACATTCAAATAGTCATTGGGTGAGTCATGTACAAGTAGTTCCAAAGAACGAAGGCATCATGGTGATGAAAGATGAGAGCAATGAGTTGATCCCAACAAGGACAGTCATGAGCTGGAGGGTGTGTATTGATTATAAGAAACTGAATAAAGCAACAAGGAAGGATCATTTTCCTCTATCATTCATTGATCAGATGTTGGAGAGGCTAATAGGACATGCCTATTACTGTTTCCTAAATGGGTACTCAAGGTATAAACAGATCCCATTACTCCTGAAGACCAAGAAAAGACAATGTTCACTTGTCCATATGGTACATTTGCGTATAAAAGGATGCCCTTTGGGTTGTGTAATGCACCGACCACCTTTTAGTGATGCATGATGTCCATATTTAGTGATATGGTGGAACGGTTTCTTGAAGTGTTCATGGACTATTTCTCCGTTTTTGGCTCTTCTTTTGATGATTGTCTTTCTAACCTTTCTCTTGTTTTGCAGCGATGTCAAGACAATAACCTAGTGCTAAACTGGGAGAAGTGTCATTTTATGGTTCAAGGGGGCATAGTTCTTGGACATCGGATTTTGAGGAAAGGAATTGAAGTGGATCGAGCCAAAACTGAAGTGATTAAAAAGTTGCCACCTCCAACAAATGTCAAATTTATCCAGAGTTTCTTGGGACATGCAAGGTTCTACGGCAGATTTATCAAGGATTTCTCTAAGATTTCTAAACCCCTGTGCAATTTGTTACCTAAAGATGCACTATTTGATTTTAATGATGATTGTATGCATGCTTTTCAGACTCTTAAGCAATTATTAGTATCTGCGCATATTATTATGGTTCCCGATTGGGAACTTCCATTTGAATTAATATGTGATGCTAGTAATTATGCAATAGGGGTAGCCTTAGGGCAAAGAAAGAATAAAGTTTTGCATGTGATACAGTATGCTAGTAGAACATTGATTGATGCACAATTGAATTACACTACCACTGAAAAAGAGCTTTTGGCAGTTGTTTATGCATTTGACAAATATAGCTCATATTTGATAGGTGCCAAGGTCATTATCTATAGGGATCATTCAACGCTCAAGCATCTTTTGGCAAAGCAAGAAGCAAAACCGAGACTTATCTGATGGATTCTACTCCTTCAAGAATTTGATTTGGAAATCTAAGATAAGAAAGGGTCGGAGAATGTAGTGGCAGATCACTTATCAAGACTTGAGTAACCAGAAAAGAAGGATGAGAAAGAGGTCCAAATTCAAGACACATTTCCGGATGAACAATTGATGAAAATTGGATAAGCACCATGGTATGCTGATATTGCAAACTACTTGTCATCTCGAGTGCTTCTGATGGATATGACTTACCAACAAAAGAAAAAGTTCTTTTCTGATTTGAAGTTCTATTTTTGGGAAGAACCTTTTTTGTATAAGCATTGTGTGGATCAAATCATATGCAGGTGTGTGGCAGAAGAAGAAATGGAGAGCATATTGTGGCATTGTCATGAAAAGGAAGTTGGTGGTCACTTTAGAGGAACAAGAACTGCAGTGAAAGTCCTTCAATCTGGATTTTATTGGTTGAATCTTTTTAAGGATGCCTTTAGAGTTGCTCAAGAGTGTGACCAATGTCGAGAATTTTCAAGAAAGAATGAAATGCCCTTGAACAATATTTTGGTTGTGGAACTTTCTGATGTTCCCTTCCCAAATTCATTCAGGAACACCTACATTTTGGTTACGGAGGACTACATGTCAAAGTGGGTAGAAGCAGTTGCATTACCTTCCAATAATGCTAAAGTAGTGGTAAGCTTTGTTAGGAAGAATATCTTCTCTTGATTTGGAGTACCACGAGCTATTATAAGTGATGGAGGGACGCATTTTTGCAACGAGCAATTTGAAGCTTTATTGGGAAAATATGGGGTGACACATCAAGTGGCTACACCTTACCATCCTCAAACAAGTAGACAAGTTGAATTGTCAAACAGGGAATTGAAGAAAATTCTAGAGAAGACGGTAAATGCATCAAGGAAAGATTGGTCATGGAAGTTAGATGATGCAATGTGGGCATACCGGACGGCATTTAAAACACCAATTGGAATGTCCCCATGTCGTCTTGTGTTTGGTAAAGTGTGCCACTTGCCTGTGGAATTGGAGCATAGAGCTTATTGGGCAGTAAAAATGTTGAATATGGATTTACAAGCTGTTGGAGAAGAAAAGATGTTTCAACTAAATGAAATGGATGAGTTTCGCCACCAAGCATATGAAAATGCAAGAATTTATAAGGAGAAAACCAAAATGTGGCATGACAAGCATATATTGAAGAAGAACTTTGAAGTGGTTAGAAAGTTTTGCTCTACAACTCAAGACATGGGCTTTTTCTCAGAAAACTTAAGTCAAGATGGTCCGGACCCTTGATAGTTACTAAAGTTCATCCATATGAAGTAGTTGAGATTTTTCATGAGCAAAAAGGTACTTTTAAGGTCAATGGGCAAAGACCGAAGCCATACATTAATGGAGCTTTGAGTTGCAAGACATTGCCCATCAAGCTTGACATTCCAGAATGAGATCCAAGGAGAAAGTCGAGCTTTCAACTATAAACAAACGCTTCTTGGGAGGCAACACAAACCTTTTCAATTTTGTGTGATTTTATTTGTTTTACATGTTGTTTTGGCTTTATTTGACTTAGGAAGTAATTAATTTTTGTTTTTCTTTTTGTGTTTCAAGTGAAATTTTGAAATTTAGCATGAAAATAAAATTTTCCAGACTTTGCCACAACGAGGAGAAATTTTTGTCGCGGCAAGATATACACTGCCATCGTAGTGCATTAAGGTTTTTAATTTTTCGCCATGGCAAGAAAAGAAGTTCGTTGCAGTAGTGTACGCACTATGATTGATATTGCAAATTTTCCAGAATTTCACCGCAGCAAGAAAAAGATTTTCGTCGTGGCATCGAGCAAGTCTGATGCGATATTGAAGAATTTTGCCGCAGCGAAATTTCCTCATTGTTGCGACAAAGTCCATTTTCTATATAAACTCACCCTTTCTCTCCCATTTTCACAAGAACTCAACCTAGCCTCCAAGAACCAAAAATTTTCCTTTTCAAATTCCGACCTTTTCCATTCAATTTTCGTGCACCGATCCACTCCATTACATCCCTAAACATTCAAACAACCTTCCTTAGCAACAATTTTGGTCAATTTTGAAGAAACTTTGGAAACCCTAGGTTTTCCAAAAATTAGGAATCTTGCGATTTGGGCAAAAATTGGTGAAATTGAAGGTGCAATCTTTGTGGGTGAGATAAGATTTCAAGTTCTCTAGCCTTGAATTAGATAAATTTCGGTTTTTGATGCTTTAATTTTGAGAATTTGATTGAATTGCTTGAGTTGTGGATATTGATGCAAATTGTGGAGTGATTTTGATTTGAGAAGTGTTGATTTTGAATTAATTTGTGTTGAGGAAGTTGGGTTTGTGATATTGAACTTGTTAAACTGCATTTGGAAGTTTGGGATTTTGGGAGTTGATTGTGAATATCGAATTGTTGTGGTTGAATAGAAAATTTGATTGTTAGGTTGCAAGAAGTGTGCGTACTTGAATTGGTGAGTTGTTGTTGAAATTTTGTGTTGATTGAGTGTGGGTTCTATTGGGTTAAGAAAAGTGGTAGATTTTTGTTAAATTATGTTGAGAGAAAAATGTCACTTAAAACATTGCGAGGGTAAGGGCAAGCAAGTAGACAACAAGTTTGTAAATTTTAAGGCTAAATAGCGTTATGAAGTAGCCGTTCAGAAAAAGGACAAGGGTTTTATTCCAGTGAGAGGGATGACTAGTACCTTTGCAGAAAATTGGGCAACAAGAAGGAATTGGGTAACCTTTTTGGAAGAACCTAAGCATCTAGTCGTAACACCCATTGTACGAGAAATTTATGCTAACTTCCCTGAGTGTGACCCTGGGCATGTGTTTGTGAGGGGTGTCAAAGTTCCATTTAGTGCCCGGATCATCAATGAATTTTATGAAATTAGGCCAATATAACATGATGGTTACTTGGAATTCAAGGCTAAGGACATTAATTTTGAGGATATAATCAGGGTAATAGCAAAGCCAAGTACTTCTTGGGAGATCACTAAGAAGGGAAGGAGAAAGTTGAAGGGGACTGATTTGATAGTTATAGCTAGAATTTGGCAATACTTCATTTGTGCGAGGCTGAGTCCAGAGACACATTATAGTTCAATGGATGCAGATAGAGCCATTTTACTTTATGCCATTGCAACTAGAAAGAAGATGGATGTGGGTGAGATTATAATGAAAATATAAGGCATGCAACCAAACCAGTGAGAGCTAGCTATGCTTTCCTGCATCTCATCACAGAGATTTGTATGAAAGTTGGAGTTCAAAAGAGATGATAAACTGCTTATTCATCCTGCCCCAATCCTCAACCAAGTTTATGTCTAGAGACTCAAAGATAAACCTACTGTTGAAGGAGTTAGCTTAAGCTCAAAACGACCAAGATCAACTCCCACTGCAACTACACTTGCACCCTCACCCACAACAAAAGATCTACTACAAAAAATTCTAACCAGGGTGAAGAGAATGGAGAGATGCCAAGACTGGTTGGGAGATCAAACCCGAATCTTGTACGAGATGCAGTATAAGTGTTGCACCAGTCTGGGCATAAATGTGTTCAACTTCCAATGGCAAGATTGGCAAGAAGATGAAGATCAAATTCCTGATGATGCCATGGATGAAGATGACAACGATGAGGGAGAGGATGAAGATGAATGAAACCTGAGACACGTTTATTTTTGTTTTTGTTTTATTTTTGTACAGTAGAACTCATTTTATTTCATGTATTTATATTTACTTTGTTTTTGCATTCTTAGGTTTTAGGGTTTAGTTTTCTAAGGTTTGAGAATGAGATGTAATTTTTCCATAATCTGTGAGGTTTTCTAACACATTTTGGACCCTTGAGTTTTTATGTGTTTTTACAAATTTTGCTGATAAAGAAAACTATGAAGCGATGTCTAGATTTTGTGCTCATTTCGATCTTCATGGATTAATCGGGGGAGTATCTCATAACCTTAAGCTTGTTTTTCCATTCCTATGTTCATTATCGGTTGACATTAAGGACAATGTCATTTGAGTTTGGGGGGTAGAGAAAAATTAGAAAATTTTTGCATGTTTTAATTGACTTTCATCTTTGTGTGTTTTATGGTTTTTGCGTTGTGTATTTTGATTTTGGGTGTTTGTTGTTATTTTTTGTTGCCTAGACTAATTGCATAAGTTCATGAAGTTGTGTATTTTGATTTTGGGTGTTTGTTGTTATTTTTTGTTGCCTAGACTAACTGCATAAGTTCATGAAGAGATTTTGATTGTTGGAATATTATTTATAGAAGATGCGAAGCATTTCTTCAAGTTTATGTTGGTTGACTTGATTTAGCCTAAGGTTTGTTGAGTGGTTTAACCGCAATGTTCATTCTTTTGGCATGCTTATGTAGCTATGTAAAGTCTTGATAATGTTGGTAGACTCTAGAACCCAGTTGAGAGGTGTTTGAGGCAAAATTCTAGGATTAGACATTGTTGAGGAAATGATTGAGGCAATTTTTTGGAACATTTGAGCCTTCTTAGCCAACCCATAAATGAATTGTCCCTAGTCACCTGTTTGAGCCTTTTGATAATATATATATATATTGCCTTATTTCTCTTTCGTGCAACTAAATTGTCCAACCCCTTTACCCTAAACACTTTATCATATCCTTTAGGAGAACTTAGGACCTTGTGTATAACATAAAAGAGCTTTGGAGGTGTGTGAATAACTGATGGATCAAAAAGTTAAAGTTTGGAGGTTGTAAATTAAAAGGGGCAAGTAACCCCATTCTGATTGCATTGTTGTTTTTGGGGTTCTAAACCAAAAAAAAAAAAAAACTCTATATATAGTTTCAATTAAAGTTCTTGATTTACTTATGCATTTCCAGTACAAAAATAAGAAGTGCATAAGTTTGGATTGTAAAAAGGGTTGATACTTTTGGTTGGTGATTGAGAAGGAAAATGGGACTATTGTAGCTCTTTGTGTTTGCATGAGGAAAACCGAGTTCTCTTGCTTTTTTTTCGTATCTTTTTTTTTTAGCCACGTACCCAAGCTTAACGTTACAAGCTTACAAAGACTTGTTGATCCTTAGCAATATCTAGCCTACATTAATAGAGAGTGGTTCTATACTTAGGCTTATGGAGTCTACCACCATTTGATAAACTTTACATTTCTGCATAAAATAATCTGGGACGGAAGGTGGATTGAAGTGGGGACTACCTACTTAGGAGACCGATAGAGAAAGACAGTCAACTCAATTTATGACTTTTTGGAGTGCTAAGTATTTTCTTGTGATAATGTATCAACAATTTTTGAGACTTGCATTTGCAATCAATTCTAGGCATTTCTTTTGTGTTTAATTTTAATTTTCCCTTGCTATTTTAGTTTTATGTTGTTTTTCGTTTGTTTCACTTTGTTCCTGATTCTCGAGGACGAGTATACCTTAAGTTTGGGGGGTATTTGATAATCCTAGGATTATACTATTTTTCTATATGATTTTGTAGGATTTTTGGATACTTCTTACGAGTTTTGTGCCTGAATTGTTACTCAATTCTGCATATTTTATGTTCCAGGCCAAAACATGCAATTGGAACACAACAAAGCAAAATGAGTTTCCAGACCCGAAATCAAGCGAAATTCAGAAGATTGAGAAATTATGATGCTGATTGGAAGCACCTTCGGAGTTTGTTCCTATTGGAGATCAAGAAGATCAAAGATTCAAGTGAAGAAGCAAGCAGAGGGTAGCTCCATAAATTTAGCAAAGAAGATAAGAAGTTCGCCATGACAAGGTTTTCTCTTCGCCGCGACAAGCTAGCCTTTGGAATCGTGGGTCAATAAAACTCAAGTCGATGCCGCGGCAAGATTTTTTCTTCGCCACGATGAAAACTGCAATTTTAAGTTTTTGTTAAAACGTTGCGTTTTTCTTATATAGTATTAGGTCTAGGGTTTTAGGCGACTATTTAAGAAAAAAGTTAGCTTATTTTGAGAGGGAGATCGACATTTTGGGAAATGGGGGAGAGGAGAAGAAGATTGGAAGAATTTGGGTCTCCAAATTAGAGAAGTTTCTTTTCCCTTTGTTGTTTTATGATGTTGAACTCTGATCTTGTTATGTATTTAATGTTTATGTCCATTTTGAACATAAACTAACTCGTTTTTGGGTTAGGGTGGGTTTTGATGGATCTTTGTTTATAATGATTTAATCTATAATATCTTGTTGTTTTTGGGTTCTATTGCATGGATTAGTTGTTTATCTTTGTTCTTACTACATTTGATTGTTAGGTTTTTGAATCAAATGAATGTTGAGCATGATGAGACTGATAAGTGATTCATGTGTTAGCTTCTTAAGGTAAACACCATAGATTGAGCAAAAACTAGAGATAGACAAACGCAATCTATAAAATCTTTATAGGATTGCACATGCTTAAGGGACTTTGAACTATTAAATTTCAATTTGTTGGATGCGGAAGTTTAATAGGGATAAGTAGTAAATTATAGCCTGAAAAATGTATATTTTACAACCTAGGGAGTCTGATTTGTAATTCGTGCATGTGAACTTGAAGATAATAGGATTATTAGGTTGAATAAGAATAACTTGGTGAAATCGAAACCCTAACCTCTCTTCTTGAATTGAATTTCGTTGTTGAGTTGCTTTTATTGTGTTAAATATAGTTATCTCTTTTGTTTTGTTCTAATTTAGTTTTTAGTAGCTCTCACAAATCCAAATTTTTGTGTTCTTCATTTAGTTATAAAATTAGGAAAATCTATACTTAGCACTCAATCCTCATGGGAACAATACTCTATTCATCACTTTATTACTTTTTGCGACTAGTACACTTGCTAAATATACATGTTTGTGAAATCACACATCAAGCAACCATTTCTTTGTTAAGGCCACCATCGCAATATGAATCAAATTATTGAAAATTTCTCTTTACCTTCTCTGATTTGCTCCCTCTCGTAATCATTTTGAAGTTTAAAAATTTTAGCGGTAGGGTTTGGAGAAGAAGAGGAGGAGAAGATAAAAATTACAATTTTTGTAAACAAACTATAGGGTGTATTTGTAATTTTTGTAAACAATTAGGGGTTTATTTAATTTTTACAAAGTATATTTGTCATTTTTGTGAAAAATATAAGTGTATTCGTAATTTTCCTAGGTACCCTAAACCAAAGTAGAAACCTGTGTTTCAGGTTCCGATTCCTTGCATTTAAGAACCAAAGCTGAGTGATTCCGGTTTCAGTTCAAATCCCAAGAATCGGCCTGTTTTCATTATGGTTTCAGTTCCATGGGATTTGGACGAGTACTTGGACCCGCCCACTCCTAGCTGTATATCATGATAAAGATCCTTTCGTACTACTCATCTTATACCAAATAAACCCAACGAATTATTTTAGTCAATTGTAGAGGAAAGGTTTGAGAGAATTTTTAAAATATGAGGGAGGAGAGGGATAATATTTTAAACTTATGGGAGTGTCAGAAACCTTAGAGGAGGTGAGGGATCATAACATTTTTTGGTTTCGTTTTAAAATAATGGGTCGGCTTAGCTACCCTTCACAAGGGTAATAAAATTAACCTATCGAACTTATAATACAGTAAAACCTCTCTATAGTGATATTCCATATAAGAATAATTTTCATGTAGTCATAAAAACTTTCGGTCCCAACTTGGGCCAGTTATAAATAAGAATAAATTTCACATTGTAATAAATTATAATTTTTTTAGGTCTCATCTTAAGGAACTTGCCTTTACATAATAATAATTATATGTATATTGCAAGAAATATATGTTATTTTACATTAAAGGTTTATGATGAAATAAAATATTTATCTAAAGTTGTTTGGGACAATGATTTATGCTTTAGAGTTGTTACCACATCTTTTATCTTACGGATACATAATAAGCCATCAGCATGGATATTTTCTTGTTGAAGCCAAAATATTTCTAGCTCTCAAGCATGTTTAGAGCTTCTTGTCATGAAATTTTTGTATTTTCATACTATTATCCTCAAGATTATCTTCTTCCTCTTCTTGTCTAATTCTAGTAAAAAAAAAATTTCAGTTAAAACATATACGACTTGTTGCTCATTTGGATTATTGAGGAAGAAATTAATATCTATTTGATTAGTATAGTAAAGTTGTCAAATTTGATCACTCAATTTTATTGTAACTCTTTGATATCTATTTCCGTACTATCCCAATGTTATTAAAATAATGAATTAAAATCCTAATACTACTAAAACATGAATTATAAAATACGAAATCAAAACAATAATTCTTGTAACTACACCTCTATTAAATTATAAAATCCTTATAATAATAAATTTAATTGATCCCACGATTATGACTATAGAGAAGTTCTAATGTAATAATAAATAAATTTGTGAAGTTATCACCTATAATACTAGTCCATTATCAGTAATGGAAATGAACAAATTCGTAATATTTATCATAAGAACAGTAATGTGGAACACGCATAAAAAATATGGAATCAATAACAAATAACAAATAACATAAAGTACATACGTGTAGCTATTACAAGCAGAATAGATTAGATATTATTTTACGTACATCATTTTTCAGTCCACCATTACAAGCAAAATAGATTAGCTTTTGAACCTTCAACTGATTGCAGAACATGCAGATTTTATGTACACACCATTTCTATTTAAAGTTCCGTAAAAAAATTAAGAAGCCTTCTTCTTCTTGTACTTTTTGGCACAAACAACATACACCAACATGTTAAAGAAGCTGAGTCCAGCCAAAAGCCAGAAGAAGTAATCAAGATGACCCTCATTCAAGTTATCCGGAATCCATCCAGTTTTCCCACCTTTAGTTGTGAAGTACGTTACCATTGTCAAAATAAATGAGCTCAGGTAATTGCCCAATGACGTTGTCAGAAGTGACAATGCGCTGCACAAGCTTCGCATGGCATCGGGAGATTGGTCATAGAAAAACTCAAGCTGCCCAATGAATGTACATACCTCAGCAGCACCCAACAAGAAATATTGAGGAATTTGCCAAAAGATACTTAATGGCACGGCAACATCTTCATCAACCAGCCCAAGCTCTCTTGCAATCTGTAGCCGGTTAATCTCCACCAATGCAGCTGCCGACATGCACAGAATTGAAAGAAAGAGGCCAATTCCCATTCGCTGCAACTCTGAGAAGCCTCTCTCCTTGCCTGTGAACTTCCTTGCAATAGGTACAATGAACTTATCATAGATGGGGACCCAGAAAATAACACTGATAACATCAAAACTTGAAAGAGAGGCCGGAGGAATGGTGAAAGAACCAATTGATGTGTCCATCATCATCCCTTGTTCCACAAACATTGTAGACATTTGGGCATAGACAGCAGAAAATATAATTCCAGTAGCCCAGATGGGAAACATACGGATTAAAATTTTCAATTCCTCCACCTGTGTTACAGTGCAAAGCATCCAAGGATTGGAATAATCCCCACTTTTGATCTCAGTATCTGAAAGCACAGCAGCTTTATCAAGGCACCTGCAAGCAATAAAAGTGGGTATTCGTTCTTTTTTTTTTTCACTTCTGGGAGAAAATTTCTACTGCTTTAAGGAAATCAAGAAAACTTAAATTGAAACTTCTATGCAAGCACACTGAAGTTATCCCAATGTCATACACAAAAAGACTATATTAGAGTCATGCAAGCAAAAAAGAGGAAAAAGAAATTAAACAATATACTGAGAAATAAAACAGATTTATTATAGCTTTACTTAGAAGTTTCATTACAATGTATTTTTCCTCAATCTTACATCTAAAACTAGAAGAGACAAATTCAGAATATAATCTCAAATTTTATAAAACAATTGTGAGAAGTGCCTGCAAAATTTGAAAGCAAGCAAATTAAATTAAATTACAGATGCACTGAGAGCTTGTGTAAAATCATTATACTGAAATTCCATGAAATGTGCTACATAACTGAAAACATATATTATCATTATTCTCAGAACTACATCAAATAATTTCATCTAAAGATTTTAAGGGCAACATTCCTAATTTTCAATATCATTAAGCTATCCCTATTTAACGTGTCTATCTTGTGTTCAAATGCTCAAAAAAAAAAAAGATGAGACAGAGAGAGAGAGAGAGAGAGAGAGAGAACCTATTTAAATTGGAAGTTGAAAAAAGAAAAATGAGACACAAAGAGAGAGAGCCTAATTAGGTGGCTACTTGTTAAAAGGTCTAAATTTGTAAATTTGAATTAAAAAATTACAAGGAAGACAGATAGAGACAGACACAGAAAATCTAATTTTCGTGGATGTCCAATACACACCCCATTATGACCTTTCTATATGTAACATGAAAATAAAAAGTCATACAGATTGGAAAAAAATATTTTGGCAAGGATAAAAGTGTTGAAACTCAGAGAGATGAAGAAAAATTTTACTTAAGTTCATCACTATGCTCGATCTTTCGACTTCCTTCAATGGCAGAGTTTTTATCTTGAGTTTCATAAAGGAGACTACTGTCTATAGGTACCTCCAAATTCCACTTACGGATTGAAGCAACCAAAACCTGACACATTCTTGTAACTGGGCTTCCCCCTGGTCTTTGAAATCTATAGAGGGGAGTGCCTGAAAAGAAACTTGCAATTGCAGCGCCCATAAACAATGCAGGAATTCCAAATCCTAGACCCCACCCAGCATTGTCTTGAATCCACACCAGGAAACTACTAGATATCAGAGCACCTATATTGATAGAAAAATAAAACCAGTTGAAGAAGGACCCCTTCTTTACTCTTTCTTTAGGATCAGTATCATCAAACTGATCTGCCCCAAAGGACGAAACACATGGTTTAATACCACCAGTACCAAGCGCAATCAGATAAAGCCCAAAGAAGAATACTGCATACTGAGCCAGAGTAGCTGAAGGGCAGGCAGAACCCACACATTCAGCAGGTTTTAGTGCAGGAATTGATGCTGAAAGGGTCAATGTGCACATTCCCTACACCAAAACAAATTTATGTTACTAAAGACTTCATAAAATTTTACAAAAGACATGTAGTCAAAAGAAACAGCTGCAGTTAAAGCGAGATGAATTACAATAAAGTAAATTGTGGAGAAAGCAGCAATTGTCCAATATCTTCCCCAATAAGCATCAGCTAAGATGGCTCCAATAAGAGGTGTAAGATAGCAAGTGCCTTGCCAGGTGGTAACATTTCTTGCAGCAGAAACATTTCCTTCGTGTAGTTTGTTGGTAAGATAAGAAACAAGATTGGTCGCAATTCCATAGTAGGCCAAACGTTCACAACATTCAGTACCTGTATTTTAGATTAAGAACGTCAGAAATAGAAATATTCAAGAAAAAGTGCCATAAAGAAAAATGATAAATCACCCAGTATGAAAGGGCATGCTCTCCAATTTCCAGTATTCTGCTTCAGAACAGGTTTCCCATTAATGTCTACGGAACCATCTCCTGTGTACAATTGACTGCTCTCATTCTAAAGATAGGCAAAAGAAGTCAAGAGTAAGATAGATAAAACAATACAAGGCATACTCCAATGAAAATATAAGAATAATTAGTTGCTTTTAATTTTTATCCATGGATTTTCACAAACGTTAAGAATAGAGATTTAACAACTTATCTTTGGCTTTTTAGTATCTTCCAACCATGATTGTAAAAAATATTTAATTACCCAAGGGAAAATCAGTCATCCCCTAACATAAACACATGGAGACAGGTCCAACAATCTGAAGTGCACAATTCTATATACCATTAAATATTAAAGGAAAAGGACATATTACCACATAAAAATGCCAGCAAAAGAAAATACAGAATTGGTAGAATACACAAAAAGAATAAGATAACACAACTTATACACACATATAAAAGAGCACTTCAATATGAATATTACATCAATAAATTTCAAATTCAACCTGATTGGAATCACTTGGATTCTCATGGCAGCCCATTAAGATGACACAGACCCACCCTATAGCATTCAATCACTACAACCTGACACTGCTCTAAGTACACAAAGTGCAGAAAATTTACTTTTGGATACAGCAAGCCAATATGGGCCCAAGGAATTCAACTCAGCAAACAATGATGAGATGCTGAGTCACTCCATAAAATTCTTATACGCTTAGGAACTTATGCCTAAGAATTTTAAAAGAAGAAAAGAATGATAACAGAAGAGAAACGTGATGGTGCTATAACAATATATTGATATTGGGAGTATGATGTATGATGAATTCAAGTAATGATTCTGATTCCCCAAGAACGGAAGCCGTACAATGAAAACATAATTTACTATGCATCCCCAAAATCAAAAATTTAAGAAGTTTACACATTCACATATGATCCGATTATGCGAAGACCATATTCAACCATTCGAAAGCAAACCTATAACTAAATTCAAAATACGACCATATAGTTCAAGTACGCCTTCAAGCTTCTATATGGTCAAACTAAACATCAAAGAACTCTAAAAATATAGACTTAAGAAAAGGAAAAGTAGCTGCATATCATTAGCCATTGAGCTAATTGAATTAATTTCCAACTACCCGAACAAAGTCTACAAAGTCTAAGAAATACTTTCATATGCAATCGACAATAACCCAAATTAAATTAACTAGATCCACAGCCAATCAGAAAACGAATTCCACAACAAAAGCTTTGGATTTTGACTTTTCCACGAATTCAAAATCTCTAAATAAGATTGCAGCAAAAGCAAAACATCTAAAATTTGGTTTTGTTCATATAATCAAAATTAAAAGTTTCGAAAATTAACGGAAAACCTGGGTGCGTCCTTGTTCCAAGAGCAATCTTTCTTCGTCAATGGAGCCCATACGGAGTTTCTGAGTTCTGCAAGTTTTATCACTTTGGGAATTGAAAATTGAAACGCTATGCTGATGGATAAATGTAAGATACTTCGTTAACTTGGAAGACATAAAGTATGGGCCACGGAATCTTATACAGTATACTTTCCGTGTCTGACCAGCTACGGTAATGGGTTTATAACAGTTTCCCCCTCTAGGTTTGAAGAAAAAAAAAACACCAAGGTTTCCGGATAGTAATATGTATACCCAAAATATTCATTACTTTACCATAATACTCTTTGTCTAATTTTATATTCTTTTCGGTTCTTATTTCTTCAATTTTAATTATAGCTACAGTAATATTTATTAACCAATTTTATATAATAAATTATAATTAAAATAAATATATGAGTAGTTAAATTATTTAATTTTAAACAATAAAATAAAGTTCAAAAGAACCTAAATTTAATTTATTGCATAAAAAATGAATAAGATAAAAATGGGAGGGTGGAGTATAAAGGTGAAACCAGGATTTTATTTTGGGGAGGGTTAAATCTTTTTAAATAAAATTTAATTTTTTTTTTTTATATGAACTACACTGGTATAATAATTTTTTATTAATAGAAAGAAGACTCATATATACAATTATGGGGACATAATAAACGTACATTTCCAGTTATTTATATTCACGATAGTTAACTTGTTATATAGTCATTGAGTTTTTTTTTTTTTTTTTTTTAATAACTATAGACGTAAAAATCTACCTGTACGGAATGAGAAACTGATCCCGTAAGGTTGAGGCCACTAGCGATCTGCTACACCAGAAGTCTAATCAGGGACTGTGATTATAGTTGTAATGCGAAGTTCTTAAGCGGGAACTCCGGGGTCTGAAGGTGTAATGTCATCTCCTTTGTGAAAGGGTTGGTCTCTGTTTAAATAATGACATCTAGTCTCCCAATCCTGATGGGATTGAGAGTTCTCATAGTAATCTGTTTCCTCCATGGGTGTATCCTTTAGCCCCCTTATCTTGGCGTGAAAGGGAGTCCGAGTATGATTCTGACACGGACCTTGGAGGAATTGGGATAGTAATGGACTACCTTATCAGTGTTCGAGTAGGAATGTGATCCGTAGGTGACTGTGGGCTCTGAATTTGACCATAGGCCCTAGAGGTGTATTGGGATCAGGAGGCCTGGGTTCAGATGGTATGGACCGACAATACTTCATACCGAATGGGCCTCATCCGGGGAATTCTGGCTTAGGCCACATCGGGACTGGGCATGAGCTTTTCCTCACTGTCAGATGCGTTATCCTATTTGGGCCGAGGACATTTTTTGGCCCTAACAATTTGCCCCCCGCTCTCTGAGTTAAGGTGTGCTTAACTTGGAGAGTAGGAATCGCCCGAGGCGTCTCCAGTCGTCCTTCGCAGTCGACCGATTGCTGGCACGATCGCGCTAGAAGTTAGTGGCGTCTCCGATGCAACTGATCGGTCAGATGGAGACGGCGTGTGGTCAAGAGGCACTCGATGTCCTTCACCGAGTTAGGTTGTGCAACCAACTCAAGGGGATGTGGTCAATCAGTGTGCGGGGCCGAGCGGACTGGGGTAAGGGTGAACCATATGGTGTACATGTATTCACTTGGTGTGTCCGGCCGAGTGCAAAAATGAACAGGTTACCTATTACAGGTGTCTTCCATCGGTATGTCAAGTCGAGTGAGTGAGTAAACGAGCTACCAACTGAAGGTGCATTCGCTTGATGTATTAGACCGAATGAGTGGATGAAATCAACTCGTCCGACTTGCCTGAGCACATGGAGGCTAAGCAAGGGATCCCACGAAGACGTCTTTACTAGGTGCCATTGGGCCGAATGGGTTATACTAGGCCCAACGTTGCTGTGGAGGCTCGGGTCGAGCGGTCGAATCCAAGCCAAGGGTCGTGTGAATGCTAACATATGCTTAGGTACCCACTCGTCCATTAGAGAAGACCGATTAGCTGGGCCCTTTTTTGCCTCATTCGTTTCAAGGCAAAAGGTGGGGTAGACTATTCCAGGCTAGTCGTCGCGGCTGGGAGAATCTCCTAGACGGGTGAAGCATAGAAGAGTGTCGGCTTCGTTGCAGGGGCTAGCGTGTTTCAATGTGCTAGCTCGGTGGGGTAGGAAGGGCGATTCAGCGTGGCTTTCGTACGGTGTTGAGATTTCCTAGGTGGCGCAGATCTCTTCCACGTGTACGGTGGTGATTCGGTCTTCGTTTTGGGCGGGAAAATGAAGAGTCGCTCTGTCCCTAGGCCAATTGCGGGCTGCCACGTGTCTTACTCTGTCAGACTTCTTCCATAAAACCAAGAGAGCCGACTGATCTTCTTCATTTTCGCGTTTCGTCCATCTTTCTTTAGTTTCTTCGATTTTTCTTTCATTTCAACTCTATTCAGTGGCGGTGGTTTTCTCTAGTGGATTTCGGCTTATTCACGGTAATCTCTCTTTTTTACACTATTTTTTTGTGTGTTTTGTTCCTCTTTTCGTGAGTTTCTGGTCGAACTGGGATTGTTTTGCTTGATTTTGAGAGATTTTTGAAAAGTTCTCTAGGAAAGGTTCGAGTTTTGCTTGAACAGAGAATAGGGAGGATTTTTTCAGCGACCGAGTTTTCTGGGTTTTAAAAGATAAGTTCGACTTTTGAAGTTTTATGTTCGGCTCATCCCGACTTGCTTGACCGAGTCGAGCACGGTGTTTGGTTAGGCTTTTGAAATTTGGGGGTCATCTGGGTCGGTCAGTCAGTCTCTAGGATCAGGTGATAGGTGCTTGTCCGAGTCGAGTCAGAAACCGAATACGAAGTTGGAAGGGTTTGATTTTATTGGTCAGTCGGTGGTATAGGACGATTGAATCTTTAAGCTTAGGTTAAGTTTGTAAGTTGATCGGTGGCATGGGGCGAGCGGGACAAATTAGTTGCTGATTTCGGAGATTAAGTCGGTCGGTTGTGGGAGGCGATCGGTGAGCTTGCGGGTGTTGAAATAGATCAATTGGTGGTGAAGGTTGAACGGTGACTCCAGGTTTTGAGAAGTCAAGTTTGTGGGTTGGAATAGGCTGGTCGGTGGTGCAGGGCGAGTGGCAACCCGATACTTAGTAATTGGGGAGGATTGTGGAGTTGAGTCGGTCGGTCGATTGGGTAGAGTAGATACGCTAAAAATGTCTGATTTGGAGTCAAGTAGTTCAGGTGTGGCTGAAGCAAATGTCGGGAACGAGTACGAGAGTGCCCCGACCATGGTGATGTTGCCCGAAGGGGGCGTTCAGGTCGGTATAACAACTGGTGTGAACGTGGCTGCCCCAAGGATGAGTGCTGCTATTCCGAGTGATCCGGATAGGCAAAGGGGGAGTGGGGAAGACTCCGAAGGAGTTGTTAGTCTATCCTCATTTGGAAGTGGCTCTGAGAACGAGCCGAGTCAACAAGGCAGTGGGATTCTAAGCAGGGATTATCCGCCCGTGCTTAAAGATAATGATGTGTGGCAAATCCGGACAATGTATCACATTCCAGATTCGATCAAGATCAGGGCGTCGCGGTCGTATGAATGGGTTGACTGGGAGGCAAAAGGTTGGGTGAGCATTTATGAGAAATGGTTTCACGACGGGCTGAGGTTTCCCATCCCTCGCCTCGTTTGGGAGGTGCTGAACTATTTCATGATTGGCCCGTCTCAGATCATGCCGAATGGTTGAAGGTTGCTGATGGCACTGGAGGACCTTTACGTGCGGAACCAGGTGATGATTAGGCTACACGAGCTACTGTATTCGTATATCCTGAAGAAAAATGACAAGGAGAATGGTCGACATCTGATCAATCTTAGGCATGATCGGTCTCACTTGGTGACCGACCTTCTGTCAAGTGACAAGAACTGGAAGGATCGGTACTTCTTTGTGAGGGGTGAGGAAGTCTTCGAGGAAAGAGGCCAGGGCAATGCGAGCCATTGGTGAGAAACCTTGTCTTTGTTTTATATTTTGATTACTAAATCTTATTGTGTTTCTTTTTTGCAAAGCTTGAATTCAATCGGGTCAGGCAGAGTGGGGACGGCTTGGACGTGCAGACCCAAAAGGTTCTAGTCATTCCCAAGGCGCATAGGGATTGGCGAGTGGTGTTGGAGGAAGCTAACCTCAAGACCAGCCATCTCTAGGCTGGAGTAGAAGCTATTCAGCGAGGTATCTCCTTCCCTTCGTTGAAGCAAACTTGGAATGTGCTTCTAACTTGCTATTGCAATCATACTACTTATGGTAAGTCTAAGCTGAACCCACTAACTGTTAGAGAGTTTGCACTTGCAGAAAGATTAATGAAGAAGCTGACCGTCCCCAATGTGAGCAAGTTTATCGCCAGGCGTTAGGAAAAAAGGAAGAAGGAATCCTTGGCCAGAGAGGAGAGAAGAGCGGAAAATGTGGTAGTGACTCCACTGAGTCGTCGGCCTGCCGCTGGAGCCAGGTCATCCCAGACCGCAATCTTGGACGAAGAGACTAAGATGATCACCATCAAGATTCTGGCTTCCGTGTCAACCTATTATGACTTGGCTGACTCATTCCTGTTCCCGACGGATGAGACCCATTTGAACTAGATGGGTGTAGTCACAGTCGCTGACTGGGGCGGTATCCCGTGCTTTCCAGGTAGGGCAGAAGTTTTTGTTTTACTGTGTTTATCGTGGTTGTCTACTGATCAAATTGTTTTGTTGTATAGGCATTCACGAGCAGTCTACACCTGAGGAAGTCCATCGTGGCACAGGAGAAGAGGATATAGGATGTGTCTACGACAAATACCAGTTTGCGCCAAAGAGAGGCGGCAGCCCAAAAGGTTGAGCAGGAGAGCCAGCGGCGTCTGAAGGAAGCCGAGGGTGAATTGGAGAGGTTGAGGAGAGAGTTGGCTGAGAAGATTGCGGAGGTTGATTTCCTTAAGAAGCAATGCCTGAGCATTACTGATGATGCCATTATTAGGGCCCGGGGATAGGTCATGCTTGAGTACAAGGCTGGGAACACCTCTCACTGGAACCCGGATAGGACATCCAGCTCATACGGGCGATGATGGAGGAGATTGGGCATACAGAGGAGTAGATTGATGAGCAGGTACTTGACTTTGCTAGCCAGCCGGGGCCATCGACTATCGAGGATGCGAGCGACCG